GTTTTCCAAGCTGATCATTAAAGAGCTGTTGCCTACCTTTGTTGGAAAGGCGCTACGATATGGCGATATGTGGTAGTACCAGATTGAATCATGTTTGCTGGTTTTCACCTTTTTCTTCTAAAATCAATTTCTTCATCAAGCAGCTGGCTCTAGGCTACTTAGGAAGTGAATGAGATATTTAGAATTATCTATCTGATTATGAAAAGAACATTACGAAATTTCTCCGTTGCAGCTCCATAAATAGAGTGTTTTACAAAATGAAAACTTCATCACTGCTTTCAATCAACTCCCTCTTGCATCCGTCATAGATTTAGGTGTTTCACTTTGCGTTGGCGTTCTACTCCAAACACTCCTCATGATTGTTGTTGACTGTTAGTCGTAACATTTTCTCGCGAACGACGCCTCTAGACCTTCTCTATCTTCACTATAAGCATGGTTGCGTGACGTCGTAGTGCAGTGGTTGGTGGTGCATATTAGGAAGCAAGGAGATAACCAAAATCCTGGCCTGATCCACTACCAAACACTTTCTTGCAATCAGTCAGTTAAAAGCCCAAAAGCGCCTCAAATCTGCTTCGTTCAAATTTCATAGTTAATTAACTCGACCAATATTCTACGACACTCATGAAGAGGGCGAACTCAACCAGCGCTAACATCACACGTAAATGTTGGTAGGCCTTTGAGACGACGAATGTGAGGTAACCAATCGAATACAGGGTGCTGGGATGCAGACAGTTAACTGTGATAACAGATCGTAAATGAATAAATATTGCATGCGTGCACTTTAGACACTTTATTAATCCGTTTTCACCGTGTTTTTTTTTCACTGCCTGGATCCCAATACTTCTAGAATTCGATTCGTTTTTTCGTCTTCTTCTTGAACGTCGTAGATTACTGGCTGAGCGTGTCTCTTGCAATCTCGAGGATAGCGTGGCTGTGGCGATCACAACCACTCGGCCACTGCGCTCCTGCATATATACATATATATATATATATATATATATATATATATATATATATATATATATATATATATATCACCTGTGTCACCTGTCGTCCCGTTGATCGTCGAGTGACTCGAGCGGGTACCAGCAACTCTTCCATTTTTCCCTATCGCGTGCAAGAGTAGCCCAGTGGGTCCTCCTTGCTCTAGGAATTCGCTGAGCATCATATCTTTCTTCCATCGCTTTTGTGAAGAAATCGGACCAACGGATCAGTGGTCTTCCTTTAGTGCGCTTGACGTCCCGAGGAATCCAGTCGGTAACGGCTCTCGTCCATCGGTTGTCGTTGAAGCGCATCACGTGTCCGGCCCACCTTATTTTCGATATCCTGGCGTGTAGAGCGGCGTCTCTGATTTTCGATCGTTGACGTAGGTCGGAAGTTCGGATCCTTTGTCTCATTTGCGAAATACGAGATACTCCTAGCATCGACCTTTCGACTGCGCGTTCGATAACGGCAAGTAATCTTTCATCCTGCTTACGTAGCGACCAGGTTTCTGCTGCATACGTTAGGGCAGGGATAATTGTCGAGTCGAAAAGGTGGGCACGGAGTCGGATGTTCTTTGTCCTCTTCACTACATCTTCGATGCTCTTAAACGTTCCCCAAGCCGCTCGTTTCCTCCTGCTCAACTCTGGGGCTAGGTCGTTCATCATGTTGATTTCACGACCAAGATAGATGTAACTGGAGCATTCGGAAATTGTCGTTCCGTTGAGCGTGAATGGGGCATTAGAAACCCATCCGTTCCTCATCCGTCTGAGGAACGGAACGGATATATATATATATATAATATATATATATATATATATATATATATATATATATATATATATATAACTTGGGGTACTTGATTGATAAAGTATTTACATCAAATAAGTATTTGTCAAAAGATCGACTGTTTTTGAAACCCCAAAAAAAACATTCAATATAATTCCAAAAAAGAATGATTTAAGCTCAAAAAGGGGTTGGTACGCCAGGGTCATACACCGGTGTTTCGGAGGTTCGTCCTCCTCATCAGTGACCCCCGCCCCACATTCTCACAGAATACTTGAAGTGTTAAAAGAACTTTGAAAGTGTGAATCCCACCCACACATTTTAATCTAAGAGAATTCCAATGTTCACGATTATATCAGTGCCGTGTTCATCTCTGCTTTGAAGTACAAAGCATTGCTTATCAAATCTCTCAAAAACTATGTCAAATACATCTGCGTTGTCATAAAAATCGATAGAGGGCAGTATTGATGCGATGAAGCTGGACAAATTTTCAAAGATAAATTTACAAGCAAAAGTCCTGCATCACTGTAATTATATGAAAACACGTCTATGCCTGTAATCCTAGCAATCGTTTTGTAAATCAAGCATATAAGAGTAAACTCCATCGACTTTCCGCATTGACATCCACGTAATGGAACCGGAAAGAGATCACGCCACTGGATACTGCCTTGTGGTTTTTGTAAGAATGTAGCCACATGCAGCTCCTCGATCTCCGTTTTGGTATAGGTTTTCTTTTGGCTGCACATTCAGCTTGAAATAGTGCACTCCCTACCACCTTAGTAGACGCTGTTGTAAGGAAGAATCTTTTATACCATATTACCTTTGGACCCAGCAAAATTCCTCAGCTACTATAGTGGAAGAGAGGGCGACTTCATAGGTTGAGAGGGGAAAGAGTAACACTATATGATCTCGAATGCTTTCCATAATAAACAAAGAAAGCGAATCCCCCGCAAACAACGCAGCAGTCATCATCTGTCTTCGATGTAGACTGATGTGCAGAACTTTCGCGTCAAGCGGGACTCAAACCCACATCTCTATCAGTGATCGCATGCTTCAACCCGTTACACTATGGATGCACATTTTGCTTCACCACTTTTTCTACGCTGCAACGCATCTATCTGTCAGCGACCAGCAGTCAACGGCCTGGCCCATGTAGTCGTTCATCGACATTGAGTACAATCAGGATGACAGATATTGGGTATTGGATGATCGAGTATAATTCCTTTCTTCGTTTCGAGTGCTTTTAAGACAACAGCTCAAACTTCAATATGCCAAAAAATCATTTTTGAGACGCGCATGTCGTGTGGTCTGTTAAGATGGGCTGACTTATAGAGCCCGGCACACGTTTTTTCGACCTTGCGGTCTCGTCAGTCGCGCAGTTAACCATTCTCGTCTTCTGCCAGTCCTCTGTGGGTGCTCCAGTCCCCGAACTCAGAGTTAGCGACGACGAACATTTTACACTGTAAGTCCACTGAAAGTATCACTGACGAGACCGCAAGGTCGAAAAACGTGTGCCGGGCTCTATAAGTCAGCCCATCTTAACAGACCACACGACATGCGCGTCTCAAAAATGACTTCCAGGCATATTAATTCTTTTTTATCTAGCGGTAGTGCGGTGTTCAAATATACCCACTGATATAAAGTGATGTGAAAACTTTCGCGGCAGGTGGGCTCGAACCCTCATCTCACTCTATATGGGAGCGCCTGCTCTAACCCGTTGCACTACTGACGCCGGTTTTGCTCATTACTCACCACTATCACTTCTCTACATAAATGTTATTATCTCCACAGAATATCATTTGTGGTGAGGTCTTAACAGCTATATCAAGGGTGCTGCAATCAATACCTACACCTAGTATCACTTTTTGTAGCACTAATAAGAAATAATTTGTCATGGCAGTTATAAGAATTCCTAACATGATCATTCTTTGTAATTCCTATTTGTGTCCTCATGGGATTCTAAGTAGTAATAGAGGAATGGACATGCTCGTCGCTGGTGGTCAGCAGTTACAATCGGTGATGAACAGCGATTTCGAACTCACAGAGCCATACGACCGACCTTATAGACAATGAACGTGATGTTAACAATGATTTGTGACACAATCAAGGTCATGCACATGGTGAGATGCCTTTCACTCAAAAGGTGACGACAGTATACAGTCTTCACCCAACCACAAAATTTGGATAGAAAAGAACTGTCTGTGAGATTTTGCAATAAAATAACAATTTTCTGTACTGAATGTGAGGAGTAATAAATTGGAAAAGTATGCAGGCCACTTTTCCGTATGTGTGAAGCAGTGCGTAGACCATTATTCTCTGTTCCAGCATAAGTAGGACCTTTGAGTCATTTAGAGAATTAATAGAAGAGTTTTACTTCACATGTCGTTTCTTATCACGCATGATCTGCTCTTCTGTCTATTAGCAAAGGAACCACCACATCACATCCTCAGTTCTACGGTTGGCCGTCAACGACTCTAGTTATTTCCTTTATTGAAAGGTTCTTTTTGTTCTTTTATTTTTTTTTCCTGTCACTTAAATAATCTTCGCAGATGTGCTAAGGCGTATAAGTAAGCTTAGAAAGATTTTGCATATCTCCTACATGCTTGTGGAGGAGACATATGCGATGTAAGGTGGCGTACTCTTCATCTTTTTATAAAATAACGGTATAACGCAATGCTTAAAAAATACCGCTTATGATACTCAGACAATGGAAAGGTTTCGATGCTCGTAGAATTTTTGTTTGTGATAATTCACTATGATACCCACTGGATGGAGGTGCCTTGTGATACACCCTGGATCGGTGGCTATTCAAACTCACGACCCGAGCTCACTAGACCTTCTCTAGCGTCAGGGATGTGGAATTTGTATTGGACCTATGTGGTAGCTAAAACGCTTTCTCGGCACATCGATAGGCCACTGCAATTTATCTCATAGGCTAATTAAGCATTCTAGAACCTTTGTGGTGCTATGAATAGAGACGAACGAATGGCGCATCGATTAGGACGTGATATCAAATGTAGAAACATTACATAGCGCATCGGCAAGGAGCAGACGTCAGCCTAACATCAAATGTCTTATCCTTCATTTTTATGGAATTTCACTTTATTAATACCGAACTATTGTTGTAGAATCATGATAGCAAATAGTTAGATTATGAAATGTAAACTCCAGATTGACGACAACAATATCGGAACGCTAGATATTTAAAGCAGGAAGGAGCCTTATTATTGTAGTGAGTGAACGGCCGGGAATCGAACCCGCGTCGCCCGCGTGGGCGTGGTAGGCGAACATTCTACCGCTGAACCACCAAAGCAACACTATATTAGTTTCAGTGATAATTAGTCGTCTTGTACTTTGCGATAGAGTACTGCTCCTTGTCTCGTCTTGATTTGACCTGCCACGCGGATTTTTGGGATAGGATTTATCTTTATAACGAACAAACTAAATATATCAAAGAATACACATATGTACAGCAACTAGCGAACTTAATCATACAAGAGAACGATAGTTGATCAAGGACAAGTGATTGACGACGTCGAAAAGTGAGTGATTGATTCGAGATACATGATGGGAAGGAGTAACAGATATCTTGACACCTCGTTAACATTGTCGATAGATGAGTAGAAGAAGGTAAAGGAAACGAGCAAGCAATGAGATCGTAAAGAGTAATGAAGTGCCATTGTGGGCGTGATTCTCCACCATCACCATCTTGCCATGACCGCTGAGCAACCATGTCGTTGACAGGTGTCCGCCATCGGCAATATCCCAGCTACATCGCGACCTCGGGCCGGTAAACACGCTAATTACGTCGCCTTCCGATATTTATGAGGCAATGTCTACAGGATACAGCGTTATGCTTACGGCAAGTGCATGCTCTGAGACGAAGGTAAATTGAGTAATGGTTTCTTTGATTACCTCTTTTCTTGTACTGTACTGCTGAGAAATCTTCAATCAAAAATGTGTGAATGAGAAATTTATCAATGTTCACAATATGACGCTTTCAACTTGAATGTTGAAAAACTAAACTATCACAAATTTGCTGTATAGATGGGACGATTAAGAAAATAGTGGAAACTTTTGCGATATTTTCTGTCGACTTTCCTAAATCACGTCATGAACATTCATAATAGTTCAGAAGAATGTTTAAAGCCTTTCCGATGTTGATACGTAAGCAACTGACATATGAATCTTGAAGAGGCTCAAAACATTCCTCTGACTGTATTGAATGCTTATGGCGAAGTATAAAAACGGTCGATTGCAATGAATGTTATCATGTTTTGAATTGTGTGACTGTTTGTTTGTTTGATGATAATGATTATGCTACTATAAAAGCAAAAAATGGTTAGGCTTCAGTTCTTTTACATGGCCGGCCAAAGGAGTCGAAGCTGGAGACGGGGGAGAAGTCGATTAAGCAGGAGGAGCCCTAGTTACCCACGGCAGCTGAGCCGACGTTCATTTTCGTGTCGATCATACAGCGCTGCCGCCGTTCGCGATTATGTGAGTTAACTTATACATTGTGAATATTCCGAGCTAAATGAGTATATTATGCGGCGTAGATAAAAAAGTCGCTTACGGCCATTGTTTGTGATAAATTTCCAATAACGTGAAAATAGGGATTCGCATTGTTACACGAACTCCTATCCAGTCGTTGTAAAGCATGCTGACTGACACTGCAATGCTTCAAATCTCGGAGCCCTGGTTTGTTCGTATGTTGTGTTGCGCAAAGCGAAAGCACATTGTCGTTGCCGAGTTCTCTGCCTTCGCTTACCTCTACCTAATGCTGTGCCTCGCAAATTTTACATATAGCTTCGAGAAATACGGTATAATTTTCTTCAAAACTGGGTTAAGTAAAGCTTCTCTTTTAAGCCCGACGTAGTTGAACTGGAAGACGCAGATGGGGTAGTCACCGGGATCATGTCGCATACATTCGCTCAAAGTCTTAAGGAGAAGAAGAAATTTCAGTCAGACAACAGTCGTAGAGTCCGCCGTACGTACGTGTGAAAATCTGTAACTCTCCTTGCACAATGTCTTGTAGATACCTTAGAATCTTAACTGCCATGTCCTCTCACTAAGTGGCGTTTCTGCGTTTCGCCGTTTTCCATGAAACCAAAGCGCGCTTGTGTCTTCTTGTTGCTGTTTGTTCATCAAATATTACTGATTTCAATTTCAGAGTCGACCGCAGAAGGCGCCCATTTCCATGCTGCGATGCTCTGGACCATTTTGTGAAGTCGCGGCAGACAGAGGATCATTGAAGAAGACCCCGTAATAACATGAAGACAAACAAACATTCGCACCCGTAATAATAATGAAGACAAATAAACATTCGCCCCCCGTAATAATATGAAGACAAATAAACATTCGTTTGTTTTGTTTGCTCGAATAATCAAAGCGAAGAAGAGAAATCAGCACCTAGTAATCACACACCAGTAGTGTCACCCGTGTTCAATCGAACTGCACCAAAAGATTTGAAGCATGAAATGGTTCTCAATGACAAGAGGCGATCGGTGGTACACATGGAGATTACGGAAAGTGATTTTATACCTATCAAAAACGTAAGTTTTGTAGAAGTTTCCATGCGTACTAGATTTGATCCGTCTTCACAGCCATGTGTGTTCTGGATTCTTCACTTTGCTATCTCGCCACCGTCATTCAGTTGGTGGTCGCCTTTGTGTATGGCTTTCAGCGAAGTAAGACTCTGTTGATTTTGTACGTGTCAAATAATGGTCGAGCATACACTACTAACCATTCCAGTTCAATGCAAATTTGATGAAATTGCCGACCAATCGCGGAACAGTCAGTCAGAGTACATAAAGTTCACCCGTAAGAAACCGAAAGAAAATTGGCTCCCATTTTCAAACATTCAGGTCAACCTATCCAAAACTCCTACAGTACAAAATGGTACCGAAAGCCAAGCAACAAAAACACCTTAGTTCACTACCTATCAGTTCATCCTTCACATATAAAACGCGCACTTCTGAAGAACATGTTCCGAACAGCTGCAAATGTGTGCACAGGATAAGAACACAAGGTAGAACCTTCAAGCTTGGCGCGAAGAATAGCCATCTCTAATGGCTACGATACGGTAGGAGCTTCCCAGGTTAGATTCAAAGGAAACTCTATACCTCCAAAAGACAAGTCTGGCGAAAATAAGGTTCCTTTCCTTCTGCCTTTCATCTTTGACGAAATAAGCACAGCCATTAGACGCTGCCTAAAAAGAGCGGGTTTGGATGATCCAGTAACAATAGTTGAATTACCCCAAAGACACCAAAGCGTCAATTAGTCCGCAACCGACTGTATGGCCGCCTCTGCGAAACCAATGAGTGCAAAGTTTGCCCAAACGGCAGAGACGGCGACTTTATGAGATCGGGTACACTTTACCAAGTCTCTTGCAAGGCATGGGGCGATGAGTACATTTACGAAACGGGTAGGCCACTATTTCTCTGTGTAAAAGAGCACCTAGTTGGGTTGCGCAACTCTGATCTTAAAACTCCATTGAGCACTCATAGGAACCAAAAACATGCAGGAGTAAGGTTCGGCGTCAAATTCACGATCCTCGCACAGGAATCAAGAACATCTGCGCGTAAAACTATAGAAGCCTTTTGGATACATAGCAAAGGCCCCAAAATTAACCGAAAAGAGGAGTGCCTCGTAATCACGCGTGACCTCGAACCATACCTCAGGCTGATCATTCCGGCACGAGTTAGGCACAGTCCACTGATGCACTGACCTTAAGCGGCCGGTCTTCAATTAGTAATTGATAGACCCAAACATCAAAACGGTGAGTGTTTTGAAATGAATTTTGTACTATGCGATCCAAAACTCATTTCTAACGTTTTTGCTAGGGCTATGGAGGTTTTGGCTTAGCGGATTGTGGATCAATGTGATCTTTCCAGGCTTTACGAAGGCGACCCGCCGAAACGTCAGCCACCTCGAATATTGTATATTCAAGCTACATTACTAACTGTATTGTTGCATGCTTCGCTAATATTCAATAAATAATATCAATAACACCTCGGAACGGCTAAGTGGAAGAAAATACTCATTAAAAGGATATCTGGGGAAAAGACAAGCGGCAATCCTGACCGAAGCTACGAAGATTGAGAAGAAAATGCTCCGTATATAGCACCAGAACGAAATATTTAGTGTATCCAGAACATCATTGGAAGATTCCATTCGCACCACTAACCACACTCCCTTAAACTAGCA